GCCGGAAGACCGGGCGCGTGCGGTAGCTGGGCCCGGCCGCGGCCTCACCTGCCGCCTGGGCACCTGTTGCGGCCCCGGCGTCTTCGCGGGGCTCAGAGGGAGCTGCAGGCTCTTCCATTGCACCTTTTACCCCCAGAAACGGTGCCAGGACCTGCCCGGTGCCGCTCCCTCGCGGGCTTGAAGCCCGGAGGCCGGGAGCCGTTACGGCGCTCCTTGACAGGGAGGTGCGCACCTTTTTTCCTTCCGCCCCGCTCCCGACTTCCGGCCGCGGTGCGTTCCGACTTCCTCCTCCGGTCAGGCCATGGCGGACACTTCCTGTGGGGACACCGGCGGTTCTCTCCCGAGTCCGCGCGGTCGGAAGTCGGCCGGGCGTGGGAATTCGGGCCGCGTGGCTACATTGTTTCGAGCAGGCGGGCGCGCGCCGCGCTCCCGGCCCCGCCGCCGCCCTCCGAGGTTCCCATCTGAGCGCTCCGGCCGTCCCCGCGGGCGCATCGCCCCCGATGGCTCCTTCACGCCCAGACACGCTTTTGTTTTAAAAATCGTAAACGCCACGACCCCCGTGTCCCCCCTCCCACGGTGCAAAGTCCGCCTCGCGGCGTCTGAAACATCTCACGCGTGAATTTGATGAGTTTTCTGTTCACCTTATGGCTACGTGGGGTTTTTTTTTTAATTATTATTTTTATTTTTTGGCGCGGATGGACGCTTCGATCGTGTGGTTGTGTTGATGGGATCCGCTGTGGTCTTTGTTCTCTGGACCCGCGCGGCCGAGGTCGCGGGCGCTTCTGGCCGCAGCCCTTTCCTGCGCCTTTCGGGGGTCTCGGGGTCACCCGGGTTTTTCTGCCTGTCCTCTCCCCGCGCTGCGCGGAAACGCGGGCTCCTTTCAGTCCGGATGCTGGATTCATAAGTCCCTGTCCCCTGGATGCCCCAGGCTCTTTTTTTTTTTTTCTTTTTGCTCTTGCTGGCTTAAGTCGCGGGGGCCCTTTGTCTCCCTGTTTCTGTCTCCGAGGTCTGTGCTGCGCTGAGGTAGGACAACCTTTCCAACATATCCTCTGCCATCAGCTCAGAGCAGTGCCTGGTAATCTCCACCTGGAGCTCTGTGTCATTTTGCAGATGCATTAGTTTAGCAAAAACTTCTAATATTCCTCCTCTGCTAAGGGCACTTAGGAATATATCCTGAATTTTATCCTGTCGTTTTCTGAATATTTTTGAGACATTACTGCATATTTCCTCTTGATTCTCTCAATGTGATTATTTGCACTGATAGGTCTTTAAAGCTTTAACTCCAAGCATACATCTGTTATGATATAGCATCACTTTATATATTCCTGGATGTTATTTGCTAAAGCAAGTTTCTGAGAGGGTATTTTATATCCTAAATTTATATTTTTAAATGGGATAAAGTCTGAAGATAGCATGTAAATCAGATGGAAGCAAGTAATAAAGTTAAATTAAAAAACAAATGTGAAGTAAGGGGACTGAGTCAAACAGAATCCTTTGAAATTATTATTATTATTAAAACTGGTAAATTTCTTTGAAATTTATTAGGAAAAAGACCCCAAAAAGGCGCAAGTAGCCAAGATCAGAAATTTTAAAAATAGTATCACTACATTAATAACACATTAAAAATCGTGAAATAATATCAGGAACAAGATTAGGCTATTAGAAAATTTATATGAAATGGTCATATTTCTAGAAATATGTTTATTAGTAAAAATGACAGGATCAGTAATAATAAACAAACATATTGATCTGTTGGATAAATGAATCTGTAATTAAAAACAATTCTTTAAATGAAAGCCTTTAAAGCTTTCTGTCTGAAAAAATAGAAAGGCAAAAAAGTTTATATTGATTATTTCAAGTTCTTGCCAGTAAAACAAGGCAAGCAAAGAAAAGATGTTAGAATTGGAAAGGAGTTATTAATAGAAGACAGCAAAAAATTGAGAATAACTTTCTGATAAAACTATTAGATTTAATAAGCACATTTAGTAAAGACATCAGATAGTTCAATGTAAAAGATCAGTTGTATTTCCATATGTTGTAATGTTACATATATATAATCAATGGTATGAAAGCATTTATAATTCATAGCATTTACAACATTAAAAGTTAACCATCTTTGGAATTGAGCTAATTAAAGTTGTGAAACTTGAAATCATTTTTTGCTCATGAAGTGCTTTCCCGCCATAAATCTAGGAACTTTCCTCCATTAAATAGTTACTGAGTTTTGTATGGGAGATGCCAGTTCTTCCAAAGTCTGACTCGAATTCTCTCCTGAATGTTTTTGTTAATAGATACTCCTTGAACATCCCCTAAGAGCTTTGCAGGAAAAAGACTTGGAGCACAGATACCAGGCTTATACAGGCTTTTCACAGATACACGAACATAAGAATCCTGAATATAAACCTGTTATTTGTTTTAATAGTAATATGTTCCAAGCACTGTTTAAATTATATTTGATCCATTTTTTGTAAACCAGCACCATGCAGTAGAACTTCTATCATGTTTGTATATATGTGTTGTCCAGTACAATGGGTGCTAACATGTGGCTCTTGAGCACTTAAAATGTAGCTAGAATCACTTTGGAACTGGATTTGTATTTTTTAAATTTCAGAATTAATTTAAATAGCCACACGTGGCTGGTAGGTGGTGTACTAGACAGTGAAGTGCCAGATAGTATTTGACCATCTTATTTCCTTATACAGGAGGGAACAGAGAAGGTTTCCTAACTTGGCCAAGCCTAGGCTGCTGGCACAGGGCACTGTTTGCTTTCAAACCCCCCACTTGGGTGCCTCCCAGTGATGTTCATGTCCTACCATCTCATAGTGAACTGTATCATCTAGTTTTATAGTGACAATATTTCATATGCACCATCAGAAATTAAATTGTATCTTCTGATTATAAATATCATGAGATTGACTAACTGGAAATACTGGGCAGTGCATCTTGAGGGGAAAGAAGCAAATATTTTCCATCCCAATCAAATCACTGTTCTCAATGAATTTTCTCTTTCATAGTCCATTTTCCTGTCCCATTTTTTTCTTTTTTTCTGGGCACCGATGCTGTTTTCACTTTGAACACACATCTGGTCATCTCTTTGGTTATTTGGCTCAGTTAATTCAAAAGCACTGAGGGGCTCAGGGGCTGAGACTGGACTGAGACAAACTGGTATACATACCCCAGTGTGCAGGGCTGCCCAAGATTTCCTGGCTGGGCAGCATTTGTGTGCCCATGTAGAAGGAATGGAAGGCACACTTGAGCAGGCTGTGCTAAGCAGCTGGGTCATCAGGGAGCAGAGTGACAATGTGGGAGGAGATTTGCAGCAATGCAGGGCTGAGACACAGTCCAAACAGCATAACAAAAGCCTGAGAGGTGGGAGACTAGTTCTGAAGTGGACTGTGGGGATCGACAAAAAAGAACCAAAGGCCCCACAGTTTTTTATTCCAAAAGCTCAGGCCTGCTGCGCTGAGCCCTACATGGCTCATATGTCTTTATTTATTTATTATTTTAATTGAACTTACTGGGGTGACATTAGTAAATGAAATTCTATAGGTCTCAGGTGTACAATTTTACAATACACCATCTGTATACTGTATTGTGTCTTCACCACCCCAAGTCAAGTCTCCTTCCATCACCGTTTATCCCCCCTACACCCTCTTCTACCTTCCCTCACCCCCCCTTCCCTCTGGCAGTCACCACACTGATTCCAGTCTCAGTCTCCTACACAAAACCCCGTTACAGTACCCTCTTTAGTACTGGAGTGTACAAGAGTCCTTCTGTCCATAACAAGTGTCACGAATAAGTTTTTCTCTAACTGTTCAGGTGCCTGCAACTCATATGGGATTCACCCTTGACCCCTCTACCCTTTCACCCAGGACCCCAAGTGCAGATTGATCAAGGTGCCATTGGTGAGTGTGACTCTTGAGCCAGTGCTCCCATGACACTCAATAAGGACTTGACTTGGGGTGATGGACACACAATACAGTGTACAGATGACGTGTTGTAGAATTGTGCACCTGAATCCTGTATAGTTTTGTTAACCAGTGTCACCCCAATAAATTCTGTTAAAGGAAAAAAAT